GTTGGACTCCCAACTGGTTGTAAGTCGTTCATTCAGACAAAATAACCGTGAAAGCGATGACGACGGGGACAAGGATAACGATACTGTCGACGTGGAGGGAACCTTGTCTAACATCCACAGTGGATCTGAAGTACAAACACTAATGCAAAAGACTGCCATTTCCAACGAGTTGACCTGCATTGCTGACAGTCTGCTCGACTTAGTTTCCACCAATGTCGGTGGGCGGCGTGTCCCTGAAGAGGTCAAAAATGGGCAGCTTATAGAGGCAAATGTGGACACAGCAATTAACTGTCGTACATGCACCTGTTATCAGAGGTAAGGTTTCTTTTACCTTCATTTACACTAATGTAGACTGAGCCAATTTCTCCAGTTCAATGTCACTGTCCTAGCTGAACAAATAACCTCCATGGAGGAGGTGTGTTTTGATGGAATTCAGGTTAGTTGATTTCTCGCTTTGTAACAAGTCTGCTTCCCTGTCCCTAACATCATCCCACTTTACTTGCCTTTGGTAGCTCTACGAACTCATCAATATAAAAGATCTTGAGAAGGGGAATACGCCAACCCTCTCTCGATGCATTCAACACTTTAACGACCTAAATTCCATGGTCAAGTGTCTGACCCGTATAGCAAAGGAACTGGGAGACCCACCTTCAAAAGTTCCATCGGTCTGTGGTGAGTGTGACACCTGCATCGATGACACGCAACACGAGGTCACCAATTTAGAGCCCCTCTGCCCTCTGTGTGGCCTTCAGAGGGAGGCGATAATGCAACAACGTCTTATGGAGGACAATTTACAAAGGGTGTCAAGAAAATTTATGGAATCTCGTGGCGCCAATCTAAGAAGCTATCTGTGCCTCTCTCCCATTTCACATTCCCTTCCGTTGAGGGTAAAAAGAAGTAATGTCCTCCTGGAAAATACCCTCGTCCATCTGTGTGACTTGGCGCAGGTAGAGTTTCCAATTTCTCTCGCCATTTTTGGCGGGTGCCGAGATGAAGGGCAGCACCACAATCCCGTTCTGATAAAGGTGTTGCCACCACATGCCTTGTGTGAATCAAATGTAATGGTTCCCACCTTTCTCACGTGGTCACTAATGTGCCGTGTTATTTTACGTGCTGGTAATGACCTATACACCAACAGATCGCCTCCACGATACGGACACAATGTGAATGCGAATGTACATATGTTCTAACATTGCATATTTAAGCCAATAAAACAAAAGGAATAGATATTGCAACTGGTCCATCTGCTTCTTTAACTTCGTTTTAAGGATTTTGGCGTAACGATTTCTCTGCGCCAAAATTTCTTTCAGCCCTAAAGGATCTGGCAAGCATCAGTTCAGTGTTAGGCGCACACAGCTCTTGACTTGGCCCCAAATGGATTGACCTTAACTTTTTCGCACAGTTTTGCAGTTCCCACACAGTGTTTTATAAACAATGCTCTTCTTTCAATTTGCATTCTCTGTTTTTGAAATCATATTTTTAGGAACTCAAAAAGATGAACAACTTTAGTTCCTTTTTGGCGGTGATACTGGGTTTGCAAAATGCACCATCTCAAAGTGTCTCTAAACGCCTTAGACTGGTGAGACAGATTCATGTTTCATGTGAGAGAGGCTAGGAAGGCACCTTCATTCACTCGCTTCCTTCACACTTTAGAGGTTAACTAAACTAGGAGCCTACATGCTGCCGCCGAGTTTTAGTGCCTATCGTCACGACCTTGAGGCGGCTAAGATGCCTTGCCTGCCCTACTTGGGCCTGGTCTTCCAACAACTCATCCACTTGGATAATGGGAATGTGCTCTTTTTATCAACTTCCTCGAGGGAGGAGGACACTTCTGCCTCTTCCTCCAATCGAGGCCTCATTACTGGTGATGAGGCGGACGCCAATAAGATTGTCAATTTTTGGCGGTGCTGGAAACATTACCTCATCTTAGGCTACTTCATGAAACGCACCGATCGAGACATGCTAGAAGAAGATGAGAAAAGGCAAGTTTTTTTACTCATACTAAAACTAGCTATCGAGATACAACACATACTTGTACTACTTAATTTACCAATTTGATGAATTAAGTAGCACCCAATGAGACCTATTGTAAGCTTACATACGAGCGAAGTTTTATGGGTTCTTCACGTCACCTCACCCATGCTACTTAAAAGTAGCAACAAGCATTTCAGTGGCAAAGTAATGCATTGTTGACTTTACTTTTTGATCACCAGTTCTTATGAAATCACACCCGATACGGAAATTCAGAGCTACTTGAGGTCCTTTAAAGCCTATTCCACTCAACTGCGTCGGAGATTGGACACACCTGCCCCAGGTCAGTCATCCCTTCGATGCAATCGGAGGAAGCAGCGTACAAAATCTGTGAACTTTCATACATTGCCTTAATGTAACTGTAAAGGCAGATCGGAAATGCCTTTATTTACTCCTCTTCGTCTTTTTGCCTTCTTTAAAACAATTCTACTCAACGAAAAGAATGGAAAATTGTGCTCTTTTAGTATTTTTATGCCTGTCTTTTGAAATACAAAATTGACGATATAGTAATTTTTTGCTTTTCTTTTTATCGCTGGTTGAGTTGGTGTAATGTGAGGTGAGATTCTTACCGTTCTGCCAAGTTTGCACTAAATACGTTCACTTAGGGTGCTTCGACACCTCTGACATTTATTGTCCGACATGTACGATGGACTGGGTCGGCTAGTCGCTTTCTCCCTACTCACAACATTAGTAAGTAATATACTCATCCATAATAGCTGCCGTGATTCAGCATTCAAAGTAATTGAACATTTCAGTCAAACTGGTCCTTCGGTATCCGCGGCTTGTACTTCCGCTTTCGGATCGTTCAAGTAGCCTTTCTAGGGAACTACTTACTATGTTAGTGCACGGTAAATTCATCCGAGGTTTTGTAAATATTGGTAGTCCTCAAAAAATTCTCGTGCGAAAAAGGTATTGCAGAAAGAGGTCTGGATTGGGGAAAAAACGGAAGAACTTTGTGGCAGTGGAAGAAGGAGAGTAATTCACTTTCTCCCATGTCGCCTAACTGGTTCTAGCCCATCCAGTCACTCTGTTGTCGAATGTGTGTATGTTTGTGTCAATGAAGAACATTAAAAAGGAGGAACGACTGGTATCCTACACCCTCTATCAGAGCTGAAGTAACACAATGTCAATTTTATTTATGCACTTCATAGGATTGTCTTTGAGTCATCTGAGGAAGGAAGGGTGAAATGATGTTCTACGAGGCACCGATTCCTGGGCACGAAAACCTACTTCCTTGTAGCCGTTGAAATAGGGCCAAACTTTATTGCCACCTAGTTGCATGCCAAATGCACGCATCCACATAACTGACTGAGCGGCATTATTGTCAGAGGTGGCCAGTTGCCTAGGCCAGCTAGAGTAGCTTGTAGTGATCAAGAGGGGAGTCGAGAGAACTACCACCAGGGCTGAATTGTGAAGTCATCTAACTAGGGATGGCGTTTCAAAGTATAGTGAGGATGATATGAATAACGTACTGACCTTTGACCTGAGCCTTTACCAACGTATCTAATGGTTCTTTAAATGCTGTGACTTTGACAAAAGTCACAGTCAGTGTTTAGACTCTTAAAGCTAAAAAAGCAAAATAGAATAAGCTGCGCTTTTGGATTCCTAAATTCAAATAGGAAATTGAAGTGCGGTTCTGTCTACTCATAAACACATAAGTAGATATGCTCACATTGATGGGTATTTGGCAAGTGTAAATACTTGGAATTCAAAATTAAAATAAAATATTTTTTTCTTTTTGAGAGTTTTTACTGTGCATCCAATCATTTACATGACCAATCATTTGTATAGTGTAGGGTAAGGCAGGCGAGGGAGTGAATGGGGAAGGTGTTTTGATGCGATCACTTAATAACTTGGCTAAAATACATCTTCTTTGTAACGATATAACGCAGCGGAAGGTGCACGTTTTCTCATGATGGCTTAAATTCGTAGAGGTCACCCTCTGGTGAGACACCCAAAATGCAACCCGGATGAGGCGCGGAGACTGTAAAAGTTGACCCATCCCGCCTCTCCGAGGCGTAGTTAAGAGGCAGGAGGCCAACTGAACTATTTGATGTCCTTTTTGAGGTGACCACAAAAGCACTGCTATCAGCTGGAGATGTGACTAAACGTGGTCTCTCATGCCCATTGTGACCGATTGTGGCTGGTAGACCAACAAAGATGACATCAGGTGAGGGCAATTGAAAGACAATGGGAGGTGAGCCAGGTATTTGAGTTGGCATTACGACCAGCGGTAAATGTGGACATTTCTGCAGACGATCTATAACTTCATTAATTAACTGAAACCGCAAATAACTCGTTAATATAATGGAAAATCATTTCTAGGCTTGTGCGATTTTCTCACTCACCGAGGTCATAAAATCATTCTCTGTGGAAAGCGAGGGGGGGATTTTACCCGCTTTTTGAGGGTAGATGGCCGATGCGGCTGTAGCCTCGCCTCTCTCCTGGACTGAGTAAATGGGTGAGGTGTGATTCGATGTCCACTGAGCAGGTGGACTCGCCGAAATGCTGACGAAGGGTCTACAGCACATTTGATCGATGGGTGTCTCAGTATAATCGGTATGGGAGATGCTGTTGATGGAAGACGTCCCTGTTGAATGTTGCTGTAGATCCTTTGATGGTCTTGAATCTAGCAGTATACCAACACTAGATGAATCACTTGTTATGGTGAAAGAGAACTTTTCAATCCAGAGTCTCACAATATGGGCTATATTCCGAAAGATGGTGAAGAGGAGAGCCATAGGCACCAACGGAAAAGGAGATTTGTCGATCCAATGACTTTGTTGCCGCCTTTTCCGTTCTCTTACCATCAAAGCACGTGCCGTAGGCGGAAAGCGGACGTGACGAATTGATAACTGATGCAAGAAGTGGATTTTGATGGTGTTGTTGAAGGCCTTCATACAGTGTGAGCATTGAAAATTGACGACTTGCTCTCTCTCTACCAGGAGGAATTGTAACAGGGCTGGTCTTTTGAGTTAGAAGAGGTGTGAGAACGTTGTTTGAATTATTGGGTACAACCAAGTCTGTGCACCTTGAGGCTGTTGAATCTGCTGAACAGCTCAAGGCGTGAATGACTTGTTGTCTGGGGGAGAAGAAAGAACGCCCCTTGAAATGCATGAAAACATTTTCGAAGTCATTATTTGGTAAAAGCAGCCCTTGTTACGCAACTTATCGCTCATTATCTAACCATGAAGTTAGGTGAGGTCGAAGTCTTTCGGTCAGATTAGGCTAATTTTTAGATAAATTTAACATGTTCCCTCACTAGGTTACCATGACACCCAATGGACTTTGGATCGTTTAAGTAACTATTTACTCGGGGCGACAGCATTGCACTACTTTAACATTCTGTTCAGCTTCTTGCGCTCGCCTTAGATAAAAGGAACTCAAAATGCAATGAGTCTTGCAAAACTCACTGGGAGAGTAGATGAGAGGTGCAGGGATAAAATATGTAATCCACTTCCGGTTGAACAGTGCGAAGGCCATTCAACTGAATCTGCTCCAACATCCAATCCACGGACTTTTTCAATGCCTGTAGCACTTCATTGAGAACTCCCGGCTGCCGTGAACTCTTCTCCCAACTTGTCAGCTAAGTTAAATAAAAAGTTAAATACGCAGCTGCATTGCCAGATCATTTGGTTATATAAGAAATCACCACAGAGGTATTTGTTCTTGTAAATAAAGGCAATTTATATGGTGGTGCGGAACACCCTACGCAGCTTTAAATGGGTGCCATGGTGGAAGTTGAGATGTGTGAATCAGCTAATACAACAGTTGATTATTGATCAATCAAGATTTAAAGGGTGAAAAAAATGACACTGTACCCTTTGGAACACCTTTCCAGAGAAGAAATCGCGGATATTAAGTCCTTTGCCAAGGAGGGGACAACTGAAGCACAGACGCACTCCTTTACCAAGCCGGCACTGACGGTATGCTTGATGAGCGTCAGGTGTGTTCACCTGATCTGCAGATGTGGATTTTAGCACATAGCCCATAGCAAATGCAGGCAGTTGGGCCTGAAACCCGATGTATATGGAGGGATTTTCCAGTCTCACCGCCTCCAAAATAAGATCCTCTAGGTTCTGCATCTTTTGGGCATCATGCATAATGACCTTAAGTGGTTCAACCGGTGTTGTTGTCGAACTGTCCGCACAAAAGCCTAACTGAGCCGCCTTTTTCTCTGTCACTTTGACCACCCGTACTACAAAACGGTCTTTTGTTTGAACACAGAAACGCATTGGTGAAGCTGAAGATCCACGAGGTCGCTGAAGAGATGGAAAATAAAGGAAGCACCAGATAAGTTAGGCATTTTTACCTCTCACAAAGACGTCGGTGTTTAACAAATTCACCTCCTTTCAGCGACCTGCAGATTTGACTGATTTAATTGTGAAAAACTGCGTGAACATTATGTCATAATATAAAACGGTGAGAAGAGGTTCCATCTAATTTTATTTCGACATCGGAAAATCTAAGTACACACTTGAAAACATTCACAACTTATTGCTACAAGAGGGAGGAAATGAGGAGGAACTTAGTGTTTTTATTCCTACAAAGAGGTGCCGAAATGTATTTATTATATAAAGTCCACATGCATCAAAAAAGTCAGATAATGCAAGACGAAAATTTAAAACTACAAATTAAAATCGTTTAAAGCAAATTAAAAGTAAATATGAATTTTGCCGGTGCTTCAATTGATTGTTAAAAGTTACACACACTAGGCGCAACTTCAAATTTTCAGAGATCCTGAGATGCACGCTTGTGTGACTGCCAATGTTCACTTTATTCTTTAATTAAAAGTGACTTTACTATCGTCATGTAATTTATTTCCTCGTGCATAATGTGGTCGTTTTGCAGCCTTGCGCGTTTATTCACCTTCCTCCCCGCCTTATTTTTTGGGACTGCACACATTGTCATGCTACGTAGTGCGCTCGAGCGTTTT